TCAGCAGGATCCAAACATAGCTTCAGACCCCTGGGGCTTTGAGTTTTCATGCTGTGCTTCTATATCCATGGTTTCTAGTACACAATTTGTCTTGTATGGTGCACAGCTTCTGCTGCTTCCAAGCATGGACTGAGGGCTCAGTATTTAGTAGCAATTTACACCCCAGCCTGGAAAGGTGAATTTTGCACTTAAAAGACCTTCTCCTCCCACCCTTAATATTTTGCAGTGGTTTTTACTACTCTTTTAACCTGCTATATGCTTTCAAATGGAAATTGTACTTCTTAAGATTAACTTCTTTTGCCCAGTACTATTTGACAACCCTGGCATACATTGCTTTTTAAGAGCTAAATGAGAATCCCCATTCTGAGAATTACAAGGAAACTTAGACTGATAATTTGCTCTTCTTTAATGACTAGAAAGGTGAGTTCTATAATAGGTTATTGCATTGGTGCTCAATCTTCCAGACCTGTGGGCAGGGTTGGTCTGTGGGTTGGATCTAGTGTAGAGTCAGCACATGGGATCAGTCGGCAGGCATGATTTGGCATGCCAGCCTGGCGTTATGCTCTGGATCCAGCTGCAGAATGACCCCATATGCCAGATCCAGCCATGGAGTGATTGTATTCACTGGTGTGATCTGGCACTCAGAACGGTGTCATAGGTCCCAAAGGGTTATTGCATTGTAATCTCTTCAACTCGGGTGTAAAAAAACGCCAGCCATGCAATACTGTTACTGGTACTTGAGAGATTTCCTAGAAACAGTTTCAATTGTGATTTTTTGTTTTTGTTTTTTGGTTTTTTTGTTTTGGTAACTCATTTTATCTGTTTCTTTATGTAGTTTATTTTAACTTGGTTTAATAGGTACTGCTGATCTCTGAAAGGAACTGTTCAAAAACACTCTCAGCTATGAAGTTGAACTGTGACGTGGAAGTCCGTGTGAAGAATAAACTTCAAGTTGTTGAAGACTGGAGGAAAAAAAAGCGTTTGTGCTGGAAAGAAGTGGCTTATTTAGGTTATTTTCTTTTGTTTTGTTTTCATTCAGGAAAAAACATATACAGCCGTGTCTAAGACCAAATTGTCAAATCTCTCCGAATAGAATTGGAGACTTCCAATTCAATTCGGAGAGATTAATGTGTCTCCTGATTCAATTTGGATTCGGAGATTCAGCCACCGAATCAAGTTGAATCTCCTCTGAATCGAATCAGTGACTGAAGCTTTGCACAGCCCTATGGTGTAGGTGTTTTTTTATGTCTGTAACTGAACTCACTGGAATCTTATGTAGCACTCGTGCGTATCCGATGGGTGAAGGCACAACTTATGTTTTGCACATTTACATGAGCCCATGAGATTGAAAAATAATGCTTTATATGGAGTGTGCCTATTTCATTGTTTTGGGGCCCCATCCAAGATAGTAATTGCCCTTGACTTCTACAGAATACCATTGGGAGTTGATTATTTTCTTTTGTTTTGTTTTCATTATAATGAAACAGAAAGTGGCATGCACAAATTTAACAGGATAATGATACTTTGCATTATTCATCTTCAGAGCATTTGCTCCATGCTTAACAAGAAACATTCATTGGGATTAAAATGCAAATCACAGCACAGATTTGTGAAACCATTTTAAGTATGTGCTTAGGTCCCATTGATGTCAAAGCTTAAACAAGTGCTTAAATCCTTTGCTTACCAGGGATGGACTGCTGAATCCTAGGTCAATAAAAATTGCTTAGTGCAGGGGTATCAAACTCATCTGGCCCCACAGGCTTGACCAGGAACCCTCTGCCAAGCATTGCAACACCAGGTCCAGTACATATGCAGCATGTGCCAGCTTCCAGGGCTCACTGTACATGCAGGCCCTGGGACCTTGATAAGGCATGCACCCTGTACTAGCTCCCTGTGCCACATACAGAGCATGCAGCAGGTCCAGTGCTTCATGCAGCGTGCATTGACCCATAACTTGCTGTGCACACAATTACTAAGGCCAGCATAGGGTACGTACTGCCCATGCCTGGACCTGGCACTGCATATGGCATGGGCTTCATGCAACAGCCCAGACCACAACCCCATGATTAATTAACCAAATCTCACTTCCTTCGCTTCCAGGGAAAATGCTTGTTTGTCTCAGTTACTCTTTATTTCATTGTGCATTTTCACATGTCTCTCCTCCCCCACTGGTAGGAAATGAAGAATCCGATGTGGAGTGCTTGAAGAAAGCTGGCACAAGTGGTGTTCCAGCGGATGCTTGCACAGCTGCACAACATGCTGTTGGCTTTATCTGTAAATGCAGTGGTGGTCGGGGTGCCATCCGTGAATTTGCAGAACACATACTTCTGCTAACAGAGAGAAGTGAATT